AGCTAGAAACAGGTGGTGTCTCTATGCCCATGTAAGTTCTTAATTTGAGCTACACTATTGCTGAAGCAACAGATTCTTAGAAGTCTTCTGTTCATGGACCAGTACCCTGCAGATCTTCCCAGAATGAAGAAAAAAGTAGCCTGGGACTGATTCATACATAATGGTAATGTCAAGTGATAAGATTACTCCATATCTTTTAATATTATATCAAATACAATGCTTCTCAAAAATGTAAGTTGACATACTGGCTGTGGATCAAATGTACCCCTGGCCTATAAAGTAGTCATTGGATCCATGACAGCACTAATTTTTTTTTTCTTCCTAGCATTTTTCCTCTGGTCTGCCTTTTTTTTTTTTTGGATCAAACAAATGTTGATCCATTGGTTGTGACAGTAATTGACTGACCAGCTCGTCACTCAATCCTGACACTGTGGGCTGAGAGAGAGTGACTGGCCCAAAGTCACCCAGCGGCTTTCATGCCTAAGGTGGGACTAAGACTCACAGTCTCCTGCTTTCTAGCCTGGTGCCTTAACCACTAGACCAAACTGGCTCTCTCTAGGTAGTGCCCACTAATCCACTGTTTAATGTTAATAATCATCTTGCAAGTTGTTTTTGTTTCTGAATGAGATGGTGCAAGTTTTCAGCCATTTTAACATGTTTATTTTAATTTTTAAAAAGATTTGGCACCTGCAGCATAGAGCAAAATCACAGGTTGATGTTTGCCATATGAAAAGGTGCTGGCCCACGAGTTACACAGTATTAATGTATGTTGTACTATGTAAGGCCATGCAAATCCACTTCCATAGTATTGCCAAGAAAACTACATGGACATATCATGCTCAACTTGAGGGAGACTTTCCTTCTTTTTATTCGAAGGATTGTTAATCTGTAAATTTGTCGTTTAATTCCTTATAAACAAATGAAACAATTTGGATCTTCAATGTTGCTTTTCAAGGGCTGACTCTCAATCCCTCTCTATGTAGATCAGGCAGATCTGTGCTATGGATCTTTATTTATGTGCGCTCAGATAACTAGACTTGCATACCAGGGAAAAAAGTAATAAATGAATATCTGCTATTCCATGGCCTATTCCCTATTCTTTGTAGTAAAAACATATTATCACTTATTGAATAATTTCAGTGTAATCTGTAAGATGCAGAGAGTTGAACAAAGTTTTAATTATTTCACTGGATGCCTGACAACGACAAAATGGAATTGTAGTATTTGGGTTTTTTTGTCTGTTTTTTTCAAAAGGTAACATTCAGTTTCTTTTCATATAACCTCCATCATTAATTTTACCAATAAATATGCAAAAAATATTCTTTCTTTGGCACCAATAAACAAATGAATAACAAACCAACTTTCTCTTTTCAGGAAGAAGGAATAAATCAAATGCAAATTATTTGTAAATCAGAGGAAAATGTGAGAAATGTGGGCTGTGCACAAAATTAAATTTTGTGAATTTCTCCATCCTTTGCTTTTATATTTATTTAAACTATTCAGATCAGATAGCTTAATTCACGACACCCCCCCTTCTTTCTTTTTTTTTTTTTAGTAATAACAAGTCAGGCTTTGGGGTCAGCATCTTCTCTAAAAATAGATGATGAAAGAAAATCAGATCAATAATATTGATTTTAATCTTCTCTAGCTACTCTGTGTTAGAATTGTGCTGAATACTTGTGTTAAGGCAAATAATTAACTTTAAAAGATTCCAAATTCCCTAATAAGATAATGTTGTTGTGACAGAAGTTTAAAATCTGCTAAATTATAGCATACATGATCCAATGTGTCACCTCTAAACAAACATTTCACGGTTTATCTTTCTATCACATTATGTGACAAGTATATAATGCCAAATTCAGGAGGAGCCTGCTATGTATAATTGCTTGTTTTTCTCTACCTCTATTTTTTGAAATTTATAGCTCATTTTGCATCCATGCTTTGAATAACAGCAATATGTTTCCAGGAAAAATGCAGATAAAGCTCATTTTCTCCTGGTTTGAAATTTTTTCTGAAGAGTATTTCTTCTTCTACAGCAGTATTTTGATTGCAGCCTATATCAAATCAAATCACATCTATTACAACACTGGGAGCCCAGTTAAATTAGTTTTGGATTTAGAGCTTGTATTTTTTTTTTTTTAATTCCTATGTTCCACCTGGTAAAATACTAGGCAATGCAAATCCTGGAAAGAAGAGTTTCACAATGAACATATGTACAAAGCACCTTTCTTTGAATTATGCATTGGGAAAATAGTGAAGCAAAATGACTGTTCTCATATACATATTTAGGACTACTAGGAAGGGTATGGTATGATTCTCAGAGAACATTCCATTGCCAACTGGTTCTTTCACAGGATGTATAACCTACCAGTACAGTGACCATAGACAGCCAGTTTGGTGCAGTGGTTAAAAGGCATCAGGCTAGAAACCAGGGGACCGTGAATTCGAGCCCCGCCTAGCCACAAAGCCACCTGGGTGACCTTGGCCAGTCCCTCTCTCTCAGCCCTGGGAAGGAGGCAATGGCAAACCACTTCTGAAAAACCTTGTCAAGAAAACTGCAGGGACTTGTCCAGGCAGTCTCCAAGAATCGGACATGACTGAACAGATTAAACCCCCCCCCACACACACACACAGAGTGACCATACATTCTTTATTATAAAAGGCAGTCCCTTATTTCAGAAAGCTGTCCTTTAGATTTATTTATTTTTCAAAAACTCACTTTTGTCCTTTATTTTGGTCATTTAACTTGTACCGTACAAATGTACCACTTAGTGCACAGCCTGATTGCAGAAATCCTTTTTATTACTTCTTTCTTATAACTTCATAGGTTTTTATGGTTTTTAGATATTTTTATTACAACATGTGTTTTTGTAAAGTTTTTCTTGGTTTTGGTCTTGAATGTTCCTTTGTAAAGCAAAGTTAAAAATGTAAACAGGTTTTTTTATCCTTATGAACCTCTTTCAGATTTCCCCCTTTTTTCAGGTTTGTCCTTTATTTTTTCCAAGAAAATATAGTCACCATACCTGTCGGTCAATTGCATATCTAAAAGAAAGTCTGTCTTCCCATTAATGACCTTAACCTGTGATCGTTCAAAGAGCTACCTTTGCATAGATGTCAGGAATAGAGTGGCTTTGAGTGCATATGCAGTTCCTGAGGTCTTTACTGGCCAATTAAAGGTGGTCATATCTCCACTGAGATATGTCACTGAGTTCAAAATGTATGATCGGATTTTGGGGGGCGGGAGGGGGGAGAATGAGTTAAACAGATACCATGAAATCTGTTTTATATAATAGTTGAACAGATTTGCTCAGCATTTAGCTGATAGCTCTCTTCAACTGTACTCTGTTATCAGTGGTACAGTTATCAGAGGCAAAAGGGAAAGGAAGGGCAGAGCTGAAGGATTGCATGGGACAATCAGCAGCTCATTGGTTGTTTATGTCCTAGGATGTATGATACGGACTAAGGTCATGATAGGTGTTCTTTGTTTTCCAGGGACTGGACATACCACAGCGTAGAAGAGAACTGTACACAATGCTTTATTATAGTGCACACCTTCCTCAACAATAGTCTATTGCCCCAGGTTCACTCCACCCTCCTAGGCTTTACAAATGGATGTAGTTACATAAATCAATCTTTGATGCTCAGTCCTGACAAGAGGTAAAAATCTTTAGGTGCTGCCTCAGCAAGGTTTTCTGATTGCTGCCGAGCAACAGGCCAAGCTCCAAGCTAGCAGTGTTGCTCCAGGCAAGAATTGCACCAAGATGGGCTGCTTAACATAACTTATGATCCTGGTAGCTGGCTGACAGCCTTCTTGCTTGCCTATAATGTTCTTGAAGTTGCCCAGACATCGCTTCCCACTTCCTTGTCCACTTGCTGTCTCCTCCTATCTCCTTTTCTCCCCCACACATTGTGTTAGCTTTCCCTTTTCTAGGCTAAAGTCATGGGTGGGGTGAAATTGCACACCCACCCCCCACACCTTGTGTTAGCTTTCCCTTTTCTAGGCTAAAGTCATGGGTGGGGTGAAATTGCCAGTGGACATCAGCATGGTCCTAAAAATGCCAAGGTGAGGCTCAGCTAGCCAGATAATTGAGTGTGGCCAAGTGACCAGCGAGGTTGCCAGCATGGATGCTGGTCAGTCCCTTTCTCTCAGCAAAGTGGGGTATAGGGGAGAATGAATGAGCCCATGTCTTCTCAGATTTCTGAGTTCGTCAACCTTTGGGGAAGGGATGAGTTGAGCGTAGAAGTGAGGGTGGGAAGTGTTGCTGCCTGGCTGCAGCTGCTTTCATGTTTTCAGCACTACTTTGCATAAGATTTCTTGTCAGTCTCATGTATGGGGGTCATCTTCTGAATTTGTAGAATGTGCTTTCATTGATAATGTAAGCAGCCTTCGATCTTTGCTTCTGGAAACTGTGGAGATGCATCTCTTCTGGTCACTGTTTTCTATTGTTTTCTATTGTTTTAATTCTTTTATTTATTTAATAATGTCTCAATCACTGTTTTACATGTTTGTTATTATTTTCTTTTTTAAAAAAATCAGCCACTGATAATACTGATGATAAGGGGGCTAGAATCCAAATAAATAAATAAATAAATAGAATATTACAGAAGCATCTTATATAATAAGTTCTGTCTCCTTCCAAAGGGAATCAAATATACCTAAGTAATGCCCTTGAACCTTTTTATTGTTTAGAGAAATGGGAAATTCAAAATATTATGATGGAAACACCTTCCATCATGTACTTAAAGGACATGCAGAGAATCTAGACAGTTTAATAGATCTGGACCACTCCTGAAATTGAACTTTTAACTATATTTTGGTTCATGCTCAGTTCTTCAAACTGATATGTTTATGCAACTATATTACTTGTATTTATAACTGTAACCTTTCGATGTACTCAGCATCATGGATTACTATTAAATAAATTCTTCTGTGTAAGAATGCCACTGTAACACATCTAATTTTCATTCCAGGCACGGGTAAACCCAATCAATGTTACACCACCAATACAAGCTATAGATCAGGACCGCAACATCCAGCCTGCTTCTGATCGCCCAGGAATTCTCTATTCCATCTTAGTTGGTTAGTATTTGATAATTTCACTGTCTTTCACAAAGGCTGCATTAGGAGGAGGCAGGCAAAGATTAAGTGGGGAGTAGAAAATTAATAATGGATTCATGCTGAGTCTAATGTGACATTGGGTATTGTTCTAGGCAAATACCTTTTTGTACGGTTTCTTACTGGGGTTGTTAATTCCAAATTACGAAGATTTATCCCCTTCCTTCCTTCCTTTGTTGACAATAAAGCAAGTGGACTAGAGGAATCCAATTAGTTGCTTACGCACAGATATAGATTCTGTTGTTTGTTTGGGTGTGTTGCACTAGTAAAAGAAAAATAATAGACTTAACCAAACAGGTTAAAGATATAGATAGTAAGAAAGAAAGAAGTCAGTGTGATTTTCACATTGAGACACCAGTGGCAGTATGCATGAAAACTAAGGTGTTCTTTTTCTGTGAAAGACTCATATTATCGTGTCTTCTGATGATCAACCCCGACATTCAACTCTTCAGTTGCCACTTTTCTTCTGAATAGTAGGTTATAAACCATCATAAGCCATCATAGCACAATAAGCTATTGCAAAAGATCCCAGGATCACCACTGGTATCTCCAGTTAAATGAAGCAGACTGCAAGTGATGAAAACACTTGGAGAACCTCTGTCAATCTGAGAAAGCAATCCAGGGCTGACAGTATGGGAAACTAGTAGTATGGGCTGATAAAAGGCAGCTACTTTTATTCCTTATTATGTAGTTAAATATCACCTTATTAACGTCACATTTAGTGGTAATCTCTTCTCAATTTCTTGGGCAGCCAAGCACATCTTTGCCTTACCCTTGTTTCTCATTGCAGTATTGTGTTACAATTTCATTATAAGTAATCCTTGCAATTAGCAATGCTTAGATAATTAACAGGGACACTTGCAAATTTAGCTGCTTGGTTCAAACTAATGCTCAAAACTGGAATGCACTGCAAAGATCCAGTCAAAGGATGGACCTTTGAAGACTTGAACTTCATGTCATGGGTAGGGGTGATGATGTTTTCCAGGTTTTAATAAGTAAGAAATAAATTAAGAACTCTGTTTTAATCTAGTAGCTGCTGTAGCATGTGCCTCTTTTACTGAAACAGCACTGGATTAAGCTGTCTCATAAATTTAAAACAAACCGTAACACAGAATAAAATGCATTCCTGTTTTAATTATTCAGCACCTAAGGTATAATCTGGTTTTCCTTTTGTGCAAGAGTTCATATGATCAAATCTCCAATGACTTAATTTCCAGAGATAATCAGGACTTAATTTCTATTTGAATTTAAGATGGGTCATTTAATGATGCTGAATCATAGCCTGAATTAGAAAAAGTAGAAGAGATGGGGGTGTTTTGCTAGCAATTTCACAACCATCTCCAAGGTACAATACAGGCAATACAATGTTTGTTACAACTTCATTGAGTAATACAAGTTACCCAATGAAGTTGTACCAGATGTAACAAAAGGAGTTTGTTCCAATGGAATCAAAATAGAGGATTTGACACTATATCTAATTAGAGGATGAAACAGGATTTCAACAGACGTTGCAGAATGCCATTAGATCCAAACTATTATGTCAAGGCTTTTATAGTATAAATCCAAACTTCATCAACCCAAGAACAAAATAAAAGCAAACCACCCTTAATAACTCAGATAAATAAAGTTTCCACATTGTACATTATTTGTTATCTGAATACTAAATATTTTCTAAAGCAACAAAGAATCTTACGACATTTTAGAAAGATATTTGTTCTGCCATAATGCTTTTGTGAATCATCGTTTATTTTACCAGAAAGGTGGAATATTTCTTGTCTCTGGTGAAGCAAACAATGATCCACAAAAACTTATTTTCTAATGCTTTTATGAAGTCTTAAAGATGCTGCAAGATTCTTTGCTCTTTGGCTTCCAATTATAAGGTGATTTCCTTGCCAATATGAAGTAGGGTGTCCTGAATCACCAGATTTCATCCCTCCAATATTCAGAGTCCCATCAAATATGATGCCAAGCACCATCCTGGACATATTCCCTGCTCTGTGCTCTGTCCCAGGGCCCAACATTTGCAGCAAGCTATTTCAGTTGCTTTGATGATGTGTTGCTATCAATGGATTGACGTGCCAGCTACTGTTTTTCACAGGCCTTTTACCCACTGAACAATTCATATAATTGTATGCCTAAGAAACTCAGAGGCAGTTTTGCAAATAATCTGTTCTTCCTGAATATCCAGCTGACCTGTAAAATGTATTTCTTTTCTGTTTAAACACCTTCAGAATTTACATCCATTTTATTCTATTTATTAGTTAAATTCCTTTTGCTGTTCAGCTGTCATTGATTGCTACAATACTGTCATGTTTGGGTAAAGGTAAAAGATAATAAAATAGAAAAGAATACAGAGTTGATTATATTACAGCTGGATTTATAGAGCAGGGATGTTTCAGACTTCTCAGTCCATTTGATGAACTAATTATAAGTTGGTTTACTATGTGAAACATCTGTGTTCACATTTCATTTAACATATGGTTAATTCAGCAGTTACAGAACCCTTCATCAAGAGCAACCTGTGGAAGAATTAAAGTCTGTTGAGCTGTATCCTTTGTGACAAGTACCACTGCTCCAAATGGCAACTATGTTCAATCATCACAGCTATGTGGTATTGCTACAGGGAAGTGCTACCCAAGGGCTTTAGTTTAAAGAGAAAAAAAATGAAACTTTTAAAAAAGTTTGTTTCAGCAGGAATGACTGTGTGATGTAGAACATGAGAAAAAAAACACCATAGAAAATATCAAAAATTAAAATAAAGACTAACAATATTTGAAGATATTCATAATTAACTTGGAACATGAAAATGAACATTTGAACTGTCTTATACCCAGGTAGCTGTCTATTATCTACTGTGATTGATAGCAACTATCCAGGACCCAGGCAGCAGTCTTTGTTACCTGATTTTGCAAACTATAACTCCAGTGGTAGAATCTGTAATGTTCTACCTAAAAAGCATGCAGTTTAATCTTTCGCTCGTTCTGTGTATATTGTATCAGTTGCAAGCGTCTGATACTCCATGGGAGTATTTTGATATGCTCTTAAACATGACCATCCTTTCTCAGCTTGTGCCATTTTTTACAGTCTGATTTCAGAAATGTTTCAAAGAATATTATTTGCTGTATTTTTTCAAGTATCCATATATAGCTCTTTGTTTTAGAATCACTGTTTATCTCTTTTATGGGGGGGGGGAGGGAGTTCAGAATTGCCTTTTTGTCTAAAGCCAAAGCATAAATATATTTCTTTGGAAGGCAGGTTTACGGAGGAGTGCAATTTATTACTCTCTAAGTCCATGTCATATGTAGGCAAATCCACTCGTACATTGATCCTTTCTTTCCCCTGATCTCCAAGGCAATTCTCCTGTCTGTGACTCCAGGGAATTGCCCCAGTATGTCTGGGATGCATCACAGCGAGAAGCATAGGCAGATTTTAGTCTTGCATTGATGAAATATGCTTAGGTGAGATCATTGCGTGGGGAGACTAATGCCGTAAGTCATGGAGATATTGATTCTATACTGTGTCCCTGATATTCAGCTTAAATGATCAGATAGGGGGCCTTTAAGTGGGATACCAGGAAGAGAATCACTTAATGAACCAAATTGTTGTTCAGATAGAGTCTCACTCCCCTTAGTGCTTGCTTGTAGGCAATCCTCTAAAGCTCGCAGTCTTCAAGAGGTGTGAGGAGGCATAAATGTGACTTCAAAGGGGTAAGAATCAGCAGCTTCTGGGTCAGGGAGCTTGGCTGTTGTTCAGTTGGGCTTATGGTAGAGGATGGCAGATACCAAATATTAGACAGATGGGAGTAAATTTAAGATCTAACATAAACTACATCTGTAAATACAGTAATAGGTTTTTACCCTAATGCAACTACAAAGTAGAGCTTGATCATTTATGAACAAATGTTATAACAATCAAACTGTATCAATTAAAATGGCCATGATGTTCATCTAAATTGAAATAGTTGTTTGTTAGAGAAATAGCAGAAGATAGAAAAGGAATATTTCAAAAATATAGTTATAGCATACTATGAATAATATGTCTACATTAACAATGTTTTCTTTTTAAAAACATTACAAAACTTAGACTGACTTGCCTATATGGCCTGAGCAATTCCAGTATCATTAACTTTTAGGATAAAATGGGCACAGTCCTGAGTCAGTGCTTCAGAAGGCTTCCACATCACTTTTCCCCCAGACCGAATCCATGTAACTGTTCTATATAACAGATTTTTTAGGTTAATCAAAAATGGAATTATAAAAGGCTATATAAAATGCACAAAATTACCTTTTCCCCCTCCTTTTTCTTTAGCAGCTAGTGAACTTCCCCTACATAATAGATCAAAGCTAATATTATCATTTTCCCTCCCCCTACTTTTTTTTCTTATTTTACAATCTTCTATTAGACCAAGACAAACCAACTTGCACCCAAGATTTCCATGGTTAAAGTGGAAATGGAAAAGCTTCAGGAGACTTTCCATTCCATTCCTACCCTTAATTCTTCTCTCCTAAAAAATGGGTTGTAGCATTTCAACCCAGCCACTTCCAATGATGTCATCATATCACCAGATGGTCTCCTCTGTGCATGTAGAGAATCAGGAGATAAAGGCACGCCCTCAGACCCTCAGCACTTTCAGAAATCTGGCCTTGAGTACCCTCACATATGAATAGCAGTGGCTACTTAGAAAATCCCTGAAAATAGGAGCTCCAAAATCCTCCCCAGACACATGTACTGGGTGCCTACTTTGCTATTTTTGCAACACCAGACTCAGATGTTCTCTCTTGCCTCCTTTTTCCTTTCACCTTTCTGCAACTCTATTGCCTTTTTAATCAGTATTATCTCTGTAATATTCTTTTTAATGTTGTATGTGCAGGCATACGGCTTCTTTCAAACCTTGCTACTTTTCAAAGATTGCTTGTTTCATTATCAGCTCAGTACTGACATTCTGATTTATTTTGGCTTTATTTGCTCACATGCTTAATTAATTAAAGGCAGGCACAGGGATATTGTTTCATTCAACACCCCCTGAACCATGCATAATGTCAAATAGTTGTTTAGCAATCTTATGGCAACAATCTCTGCTTATCATTTTGCAATCTGAAAAGAGAAAACTGTGTATTGTAATGATTACCATTTTGAATGAGAATCCCCAGTTTCAAAATTCAGCCATGAAAATAGCTGGACAAGTCCATGTGGTGGAAGAGGCATTTATCTCCTTCGTGCATGAATGATCTCTATACACATATTGCCAGCACAGCAAGTGGTATAATTGTTAACAATTGTAAGTGCTACTTTGTTGAAAAGCAATGCTGGTAGGAAAATTTAAATTTGTTTCCCAAAGGAACATTGCAAATGGTTACATTGCAAATAGATGTTATATTTAGCTATGTTTCTATGTAGAGTTCTTATCTATATTTTTTTCACAAACAGAATGATGCACACATGGAACATTAGCATCTTTTATGAAGTTATCTTGTTGTACCAACTTCCAGATACAGGAAATGCTGTTGCCATTCTTGACTGAAAGGATTAACCATAATGTGGCTACAGGGATAAAATTTCAGGAAAATTCCAGAAATGTCATATCTGAAGTTCAGTAATCTCTAAACAGTCAGAAATTGTCCATCTTGCAGGGCATCTTATGAAACTACACCAATCAAATAGATATAGATATAGGCAGCCATGTTAAATATAATCAGTAGACAAATAAATTAGTTGGAGCAGAATGAATAGCTATTTAAAATTTTCCTTAAAAATCAATATAATATATCCAGCTGAGGTTGGGAAAGATTTTTGACTTGAAACTCTTGAGGGACACTGTCTATCAATGCAAAATGATGATGATGATGATGATGATGATGATGATGATGATGATGATGATGATGGTTATTATTATTATTATTCAATTATCTTTCTCTAAATCTGATTTCTATGGCTCAGTATAGAAGCTAATGATCAGATATATTTTGATATATATATATATATAGAGAGAGAGAGAGAGAGAGAGAGAGAGAGAGAGAGAGA